AAAAAAAAAAAAAAAAAAAGATCTCTTTTTTTTTGTGGCAGCTGACCAGTACAGGGATCTGAACCTCTTACCTTGATGGTTATTAACACCACACTGACCAACTGAGCTAACCAGCCAGCCAAAAATTACCTTTATTTTTTATTTATTTATTGTCCTTTTTGAGACCGGCCGCACCGCGCTCAGCCAGTGAGCGCTGTGAGTGCACCGGTCATCCCTATATAGGATCCGAACCCGCGGCGGGAGCACTGCTGCGCTCCCAGCGCCGCACTCTCCCGAGTGCGCCACGGGCTCGGCCCAATTTTGTAGAATTTTAAGTTGAGTAAAGTGGAGCATTAGTCTTTTCACAGAATTTAGAATTTCGGTAATCCAATTAAAGCCTCCCTCAGTGTTAACATTTTGCATAACTATAGCATTAATATCTAGACCAGGAAATTGACTTTGGTATAATCTGTAGAGCTTATTTATTTACTTAAAGATGACCGGTAAGGGGATCTTAACCCTTGCCTTGGTGTTGTCAGCATGCTCTCCGAGTGAGTGAACCGGCCATCCGTATGTAGGGATCTGAACCCGTGGCCTTGGTGTTATCAGCACTGCACTCTCCCGAGGGAGCCACAGGCTGGCCCTTATAGAGCTTATTTAGATTTCATCAGTTATACATGTATTCACTGAAGTGAAATTTGCTTAAAAAAAAAGAATTTTTTGGAGGGGGCTGGCCCAGTGGCGCACTGCTACAGTGCGCCGCTTGGGAGCGTGGTGGCGCTCCCGGCGAGGGTTCGGATCCCACATACAGACCGGCCACTCACTGGCTGAGCGAGGTGCGGGCGCAACACCGAGGGTTGCGATCCTGTTGCGATCCGGTACAAGCGCGACACTGAGGGTTGCAATCCGTTGCCGGTCACGAAAAAAGACAAAAAGGAAAAAAAAAATTTTTTTTTGGTACATGATTGCTATCTTCAGACCTGATAATCATCCTAAAGGGCACATTATTTCTGCAGTACATACATAAAAATGCAGTTTGTTTACAATCGTAAAAACTGCCTAACTGCCCAGTGTTAAAGGATTGGCTGACAAAATTATGGCTGAATTTATGGAAGAAGTGGTCAGAATATTAAAACAGCAAGAGCTAACAGTACTTACTCTGTGCCAAGCATTGTGTGATACTTACAAGCGTTAGTTCATTTAATTATCACAGTATCTTGTGAGTGGGTACTCTTAATTCATTCACTCCAAATATTAAGCACTACTGTGTGCCAGGCAGTGTTCAGGGCCCTGAGTTACTATATAGCAGTGAATATTAAAAGTCACTGCCTCCATGGATAATAAAAAAGCAAGCAAATGGTAACAATTTCAGTCACTGTTAAAAGCTCTGAGGAAAACTGAAGTAAAGTTTTAGTGTGTCACTGGGATTGGGGCCATTTTATTTTATTTATTTATTTTTTAAAGATTACCGGTTAAGGGGATCTTAACCTTTGACTTGGTGTTGTCAGCACCAGGTTCTCCCAAGCGAGCTAACCGGCCATCCCTGTATAGGGATCCAAACCCATGGCCTTAGTGTTATCAGCACCACACTCTCCCAAGTGAGCCACGGGCCGGCCCTGCTGGGGTCATTTTAGACTGAGTAGTTAGGGAAGGCATCACTGAGGAAGTAACATTTGAGCCCAGGCCTGAATGAAGTGGGAGAACAGTCCATTTGAAGATGGGGAAAATAGTAGACCAGTCTGAGGGAGTTTAAATGCTAAGACACTGGATTGGAATGAGCTCAGTGCATCATTTTATGTTTAACAGATGAGAAACTGGGTACTAGAAAGTTATACAGCAAGTGAGCAGGAGAGGCTTGGAATGTAGGCAGTCTGATTTCAGAACTTGAGCTCTTTTTTCTTTTTCCTGCTAAAAGATGACCAGTAAAAAAGTTATACAGCAAGTGAGCAGGAGAGGCTTGGAATGCAGGCAGTCTGATTTCAGAACTTGAGCTCTTTTTTCTTTTTCCTGCTAAAAGATGACCAGTAAGGGGATCTTAACTCTTGGCTTGGTGTTGTCAGCACCACGCTCAGCCAATGAGCGAACCAGCCATCCCTATATAGGATCCGAACCCATGGCCTTGGTGTTATCAGCACCGTACTCTCCCAAGTGAGCCATGGGCTGGCCCTAGAACTTGAGCTCTTGAAGGTTATGCTCTTCTGCCTTTCTCAAATACTCAAATTTTTGAATAATTATGTTCTACTCATTCAAAATTTTGTGAATGCCTAGAGTGTGCATGGCTTAATTTTGCCTTTATAAAATAATCGTAGCTTTAAAGTATGTAGACTAAAAACCAGTAGGGGAAACATAATATTCAGCGTTTAACTGATTTGTATCATTAGTGTAAATACCATATTCTTGCAGATTCTCGATGCCTTTCGGACTCCTGATGGCATGCCTGCAAAAGACTTGCAGTTGAAGGAGTGTAACACAGGTGAGTTTCTTGACATGCATGTGGTCTTGGGTTAGGAAGCGTCTTTGCCAGAACTTTGCATCATGTGCTACTCAAAAATTTTTTTAAGAAACCACATTTAAGATTTCCAGAGGCCTCTTGTTGATGCCTTCAAATAACAACCAGCTTTAGTCTTAGTTGTGGTTCTTTGTGGATGTTTGTGTACACATGGGCTATGAGGGTGCATGTTTCAGTTCTTCTGAGTACCTGTCCGTTATAAAGTGAGTGTTTCAGCATTTGTCCCTGAATATATTTTATGTAATATTAAACTTGCTATTTATGTTTTTCATGGTGGTGGAATGTTTATGTTTAAGCCTAGTAGGATTTAATAAACTTGATGTATGTAAAATTTTATATTTCATTGCCTTGGAGTGAAATTTACAACTTTCCAGAGAGATTGTACAAATTAGTAGTTTCTTGAATTTCTAGTCTTGTTCTGAGAATGGAGTCCTGCAATAGCTATTTTGTTGAAATCCATGAGTAGATCCAGAAGAGCTTTCTCTTTGACTTCTGTTCTGTGGTCTGAACTGCAGGTTAAACTTTTCAGAGTATCTTCCTAGTATAGCAGAGTACCGAATTCAGTAAGTTCCTTCAAAATTTTATTAAAGGTAATCTTCAAGTGATCTGTTTTGTAGAATTTTAAATTGAATAAAGTAGAGCATTAGTCTTTTCACATAATTTAGAATTTCAGTAATCCAGTTAAATAAATCTCCAACTAAGAGGGTGTTATATTTTTGAGGATATATTTTATTTTTAAACAGTTTACCATGGAATAAAAATTTTGCATTAATTATGTGCAGGTAGCTCGTTCTTCAAATTGGTTCTGCAGAGGAAAATTATGCACAAAAATAAATTTTTGTGATTGAAAGAATATTTGTGTTAAGTTCAGAAATATTTTTTCTGTAATTTGAGAACAAACTCAGAAGTATTATTTCTCAGAAAGCTAATTATTTATGTCTTAAAAATAAGCATTAACCCTGAATTTGTGGAAACATGAGTAGGGGTAGTTATGCTGTTCTTGCATACCTTTCTTTTGTTGGTTATTTTCTATTTTTTGCATGTGTCTCATTCATGGTTTCTTTGGGAACTAAAGGTAGAATTTACAGGATGGAGATGCTTTTTAACTCACAGGGTAATAACCTCAGCTTCAATCTTGTTTCATGAACTGTGCTTTTATTAAGTATTGACATATTTTAGAAAGAAAAGATGTCTTAATGTTTAAATAGCAACAGTTCAAACTCTTTACTATCTTTATTACTCATCAGTTTTCTATTCATACTGTCAGATTTGTAAGCAGAGTAAAAATTACATTAATGTACAGGGTCCAGGAGGAAGTTTTTAAATTTGCTGGCTGTGGTAGTTATTAGAAGCATAATTGGCAGACCAAAGATATTGATACACATGTGAAATCATTCAGGACAGTGGTTAAAAAACAAAAACATCATTCAGTAAATGCAATCTTTTCTTAGCATTTTATTATATGAAGTGATAGTGTATTTTAAAAAATATATATATGTGGTTTTTCTCTTTTTATGATAGGATTGGATTACTAGTTCCATGTTATACATAATACATCTCTGTGTAACATGTAGAAGGAACTTTTGAAAATCTCAGTCAGATAACATTATTCCCATGCCTAAAACTCTCTTAATAGCCTTCCATCTCACTTGGAAGAAATTCCCAAGTCCTTGTTCTGACTTACAAAACCCTGCATGAGTTGGCCTTGGCTGTTTGACTTCATCCTGTACTGTTCTCCACCTTCTCTGTTTTGCTGTAGCCACACTGAGCTTTCTTCTAGTCCTTGAACAATATAAACTTCTTTCTGTGTCAGGGCCTTTGCACTACTCTTCCCTCTGACCCTCTCATCTTCTGGAGTTTAGTTCTTGGCTTCAATTTCGCCTCACTCTCCAAATCTAAAATCAATATTTAGTCAATTTTCATTATATCCTTGTTTGTTGGCATAGGATTTATCACTGTGATATTTTTCTTAGTAGTTTTGTGTATCTTATTCCTCTCATTAGAGGATTAGCTTCATGACAGCAGGAGCCTTGTCTGTCTTGTTCCCTCCTGTTTAGAGCTTAACACTTGGTAGGTTCCCAGTATGTTTGGAATGGATAAGTATCCATGCTGTATGTGGAGAGTAGCCGTGATCTCCTTTCAGGTGAGGAGCATTTAACGGTAGTTAAGGTTTCACAGCAGTGCAGCTCGAGTCTTACACATCTGTTGAAGAATGTGTCTTGTAACAATCAGATGTTCAGAGAACTTTAACATTTACTTGTTAAAAGATCATATGCAAATCTCATTGGAAAAGGTGGCTTTTTTTTTTTTTTTTGGCCGGTGGCCGGTAAGAGAATCCAAACCTTTGACCTAGGTGTTATAACACCATACTTTAACCAACTGAGCTAACTGGCCAGCCCCGAAAAGGTGACATTTATAAATGAAAACCAGTCTGTTTTTTAGGATGGGTAATGACCTGCAGAGACCATACAGGATGGATATTGCTTATATGAGGAGGATTGTGGGGTAGAGTTTATCTTTTAAATGATTTAATGAGAGCTGGTCTATAACAGAGAGAAAAAATTAATGCCTATTCACTGACTCTAGTCATGTATTTAATTTTTGTCCTGTTTAGAGCTGTGTAAGTATAAGACCACAACTTTTATCCAGAACCCGTGAAGTTAGATGAGTTTATGAATTTTTCTGGTTATAGAAATGTAATGTGGTACGTAGATCATGTGTGAATTATATCCCCTAGGGAATGTATATTCAGACATAATAGTTTTGCAGCAAAATGTATGAATATTTTTACTGAGAAGATTAAAGCCTATAAAGGGACTCAGTGTAGTATAGTCCAAGATTTGCCTCAAAAAGACTTCATTGAATATTTACTAAAAACTTGATATTTAAGGGATTTTTGGATTTTGGAATTGCATATAAGGGATTGGGGACCTACGTATGTTCTGTATATTTGAGGTTTTTATTTGTCATTTGCAAATATATTATAACCTTGTTAATTACCTTGAGTTTATATGATTATATTCCTGGAAAAAGTATCAGGAGTAAAATGTATTTTGGTGACTGGGCTAACAAACTCTGATATATGCATATAATAGAATACTACTCAGCAATAAAAATGAAGAAACTACTTATGCACATAATAATATGGATGAATCTCCAAGGCATTATGCTGAATGAAAGAAACCAGACTCAAAAGACTGTATACACTGCCATAAGAAGGAATGAAATACTGATATATGCTACAATTTGAGTGAGCCTTGAAAATATGAAAGAGGCCAGATTCCATTAATATGAAATATCCAGAATAGGTGTATCCATAGAGACAGAAAGCAGATTGGTGGTTGCCAGGAGCTGGGGGAATGGGGAATGAGGGAATGACTGCTTAATGGGTATGGGGTTTCCTTTTGGGGTGATAAAAATCTTCTGGAGCTAGATAGTGGTGATGGTTGCTCAGCATTGTGAATGTACTTAATGCTACTGACTTATACACTTTAAAATTGTGCATTTTATGTTATGTGTATTTGATTACTTTTTTTTTTTTAAGGCTATGTACTGTTACAATTCAACTTACATAACATTCTGGAAAAGGCCAAAAAAAAATTTTTTTTTTTCGACTGGTAAGGGGATCTTAACCCTTGATTTGGTGGTGTTAGCACCACGCTCTCCCAAGTGAGCTAACTGGCCATCCCTATATAGGGATCCAAACCCATGGCCTTGGTGTTATCAGCACCATACTCTCCCAAGTGAGCCACAGGCCAGCCCAAAAAGGCAAAATTTTAGGAATAGGAAATAGTGGTTGCCATGGTGTTGGGGAAGGAGTTGATTATAAAGTGGAAGCATGAGGGAATTTGGGGGTATAATGGAATTGTTCTATATTTTGATTGTCATAGTGGTGTATCAGTGCTAAATTCACTGAAGTTGGTAACTACTGTGGTTACGTTAGAGAACATCCCTATTAGAAAATACACACTGAAGTTTTTAGAAGTTAAGGACCATGATGTATGCAACTTTCTCTCATATGGCTTAGAAAAAATATTCGATGTATATGAAGAAGGGTGGAAGTGAGTAATGATAGAGTATTTGGAGCAAAAGGTTATCAATAGTTGAATCTGGGTAAAGGTATGTGAGTATTTTCCTTTACTATTATTCTTGCAACTTTTTTGTAACTTGGAAATTATATCTAGTAAAAAGTCTAAAAACTGACATAAAGCTGATGTATTTTATTTTTAAATGATCAGCAGAAACCCTGCAAGCTGAAGACTGCAGTGAACAGCTTCTGTCAACAAGTAAACTATAGAGCAATGGTTCTCAAAGTGTGTCCTAGTACAGCATCATCATCACCCCCTTGGAACTAGTTAGAAATCCAAATTCTCTGGTTCAACTCTAGACTTAGTGAATCAGAAACTATGGGAGTGAGACCCAGCAATCTGTGCTTTAACAGGTCCTCTAGATGGTCGTGATATGCCCTGAATTGTGAGAACCACTGCGTTAGATTAACTTTATTTAGATTCTTTATTCTAGAACTTTTTACACAGTTTAAAAGTGACTTAGTAAGTGGACCTTCTGTAAGTAGATAAAACTAATGCTATGTGCTTTGGGACCCCATGCTATGCACATGCCTTGCCTACCTGATATCTGTTCTCCTGTTCTACAGAGCTGGCGCAGGAGCTAGAGTAGTATTGATTTTATTTTATGTCTTTAGTTGTTCTTTCTGCTTATGTAGTATACTTCCTCCAAGAGATCTTGGAATTGTTGTAGATCTCATTCTTACAGTGTTTCTGTGACATATGAATGCAGATGAATTGCTATTGATTTTTAGGTAGATCTGCATACTATATATAGTACATAAGCTTACTGTGATTTTTTTTCAAAAAGGATTTGTACCATTTAAGCAAAAATGATATAACTTCAGGGCTATGTTTCCTGATAAGTCTCAAATACAGAAAGCAACCCTCTATGGTAAC